GTGTATGGTGGTAGTAATAGTTAGTCGATTGTGTTATTTGTCAAATAGAACATAGAAGATAAAAAAGAAGAAAAAGACTTTTCGTCCCCTACCAATTAATCATACAGAAGAAAAATTTCATCAATTTTAATGCCTAGTTGGAAAATTAATTGTTTAAAAAGTGAAGAACATACAAATCCATCCGTTCTATCATCAAATACAATCAATGAATCGAATAAAATCGATTCAATACCACAAGTTATTGATCATGAACAAACAGGTATAAATATTTTTTTCCTCATTCACAAAATCTTCTCATAATTAGATTCATTGATAGATGTCATTTGATAAGATAGTAACATTTAAATAGAAAGGAAAATACTTTAATCAACACTATTAGTCTGTATCATTAACATAAGAGTTCATCGTGTTAGACGTTAAGAGTTTATATACAGCTTAATCGATTATTGTTCTGGTTCAAGTCTGATCGAACAACTATCGATTAACCTTATCAACGCCTATTTTTAACAGTCTCGTTCTCATCAATTTGTATTCATGAAAGTAATAAGTACTGTCATCTATTTTCCCAAAGGAAAAATTTATTGATTGCATAATTAATTGTTAAATAATTTATTCATATTTTTTGTAAAGATATTCCAGAAACAGTAGCCAGTATTGATATTCATAGTTTACCTTCAAGTCCATCAATAATAAATTGTCATGAACAAAAGCAGCGAAATCATCATCATCATCATCATCATTCGCCGACTAGTAAGTTGAATACGATTACAATTCTTTTTTTTTGTCTATTATTATCTGTCTCTAAAAAAAAACGTGTCTGTTGGTATGATACTATTATCAACGATGTAGAAAAAGAAAACGATGAATGGGCGACAGCTGAGTTCGATGTGTACTTATATCAGTTAGAGTGTTGGTGGTTGTTGTTGTTCTTTTTAAAGATATACATAAGGAAATATCTAGTATAGTAATCAACTATTATACACATATTGGTGAAAGTAGATAAGAAAAATCGAAGGATATATACTTTAGTGTGTATCTATGTTGTGCGCAATAAATCTGTTTACTAACGATAGTGTCTAAAATGATTAATGTTCAAATAGTTTGGTTTGCGGCCCATTGGCACCTTGCCTTTATCATATTCTTTCTGACATAAAAAAAAACAAGTTGGATAAAACTGGAACGTGTGCTGTCTCTCTCGCTCTCTGTCCTTCTTCTATTCTCTACACATTGCCAATTTTTCATGGTATATATCGCGTCTATGGTATGTCAGTATTAGTGAGTTATTTATTTTCGTTCGTGCACTCTTCTTCTTTTGTGTCTTACTTTCATCCTTCGACTATAAGTGCTGTTGTTTTTTGTTATTTTTTTTTATCACTCACTCCTTCTTTCCTTTCTCATGCATGCGTGTACATGCCATATACATTGTGTAGGAGATAGACAATGTTAAACGAAAGATGTGCATTATTACAGTTAGGCATCTCTTCATTTTTTTTACATCTAGTTGCCACTTGATCTCACATCATTATTATGATGTGATTCAATGATGATGATGATGATGATAACATAGCTGGTGCATGTGTCGGCAGTTGTGCTGTGCTACTGGTGGTATTGACCTTCTCATGTAGATATGGCATGATATGCTGGATGATGTCGATACCTAGTAGTATAGTTTCTTTTACATGTATATTTATTCATTGTTATAATCCTCATATATATATATACAATATGTTCATATGCAAAACTTATTACTTAGATTATATAATAGGAAAATTAATAAAACAATGAGTTGGAGACATCGTCTAGCGACACTTGAGCCATCGCCATCATTTGTCGCAGTGACACCCATTAAAACTCCTACGACAAATAATCATTCTCGTTCATCTCCATTTGAACAACGTTTGGCTAGGTATCGTTCATTACCACTATTATGGTTTCGTACATGTGGCTCCTCTAATCACCAACATAGACGACGTACAGCCGCTGGTACTGATGGTAAAGATACGATATATACACCTCGTGGCCATTTCGGTGAGTTCGAGTATAAACATGGTCTTGTTTACATTGTCTTTTCTTTTCATTCCCCCATAAATCTGTTTTATATAACATAAAAAATATGTCGACAAGTATTTATAAAATATTTTATTTTTCTTTGATACCAATGCATAAAAATATTTACATGTTTTACTTTATATAGAAAAATACTAAATGATAGTTATTTGTATTTAAAAAAGTCTTACATTTTTTATATTGAAATATTTAATTGCACATATATATAGAAAGTTTATTGTATGACATTGAATAGAGTTCGATAAGCTAGATAATGTATATATAGTAAACAAAACATAATGAAATTCTTTAACGATCTTAGATAATAGTTAATATCTTGTGTGTATATATTTCATCAACTTTCTTAGTTATCGATGGTATTTATGATGGTAGACAAGTGTCAATAGTTATTATTTTTTGACATATTATCGTGTGAAATCGATTGTATGTAACAAGCATACGTCGAGAAAGTATTTTTTCATTAATATTTTTTGCTCCTATTCATAACTAATATAAGGTTTTATTAGAAAAGAGTCGTTCGATTCATTTATCATTAGTGTAAATAGATTTGAATATAAAGTGACGTCTCTTAAGGTCTTCCTACATGTGACTAGTTTTAATTTTAGAGATATGTGATTCTATTTCTTATGAGCTCGTCTATATCTAGTTGTATATACGTAGCTTTAAACTATTGAACTATGTGTTTTATATACATAGATATATGTAGATAGATTAGAAATAGAAGAAGAAAAATAAGAGATATAAATATTTATTATAATTTTCGTCACTTTTTTAACCAATATCGGATGATAGAATCTAATATATATGTAGAGACACATGTCATTATAATTAACAACAATGACATCGATGTTCTCATTTGACCCAATTAGTTACAGAAACAAGATGTAATCGATGTCTTGATCGTTGATTCAACGATCGATCACGATTGTCGAAGGCCTGTCATATTAAGTGTAAAGAAGCGTATATACCTACAATTCGGCTTTTTTCGTTTTCACTTTTTACTCTTTTTTTTTTCGTTTTTCTATTCATTCATTTATACCACTATATACTTTAGGCGGAGATTGTATTGACAATGACCTTTACTCCGCCTTCTTGTTCTTCTTTTTTTTTTCTTCTCCTCTTCTTGTTCTTATTCTCGTTCTTCTTTACTCGTTGTGTTCAATGAATATTGATATTGATCAATTGATCAGAATCATACATAAGCACTAAAAGACATGAACATTTTTCTTTCGTTCATTGTCATTATTGTCGCATCATACATTAACGGCAATAGGTAAATGGTACTCAATTTGAATATGTTATGTACTTCACCAAGAAAATCTTTATCAACGACAAAATTAAGAAAAAAAGTCGATTGGAGAATAACATGTAGATCAGATCGTACCCAAAAGGGTGAGTTTATTGGTATTGTTCACGTATGAACAAGTTAATCAAGAGATTTTCACTTCGTATATGTATATATTACAAATCCTTGGATAAATAGAATAAGATAGACAACATAGAGAAGAGAAAAAGAAGTGAGATTAGAACTTTGATTGTAAAATATACACAACTGACATTTAACGTATCTATTCGATTCTATCATAATCTGTTTTGTTCATTTGTTAGTATGAAACCTTTTCGTTTCGATTTACTTTAGAACTTAAAAACTTTCAAGTATATTGATGATTAAGTATTAGTTTTAAGTTAAGAAATAATACTCGAAAAATTTTCAATAAAAAAAGGATTCGTGAATTCTTCCAAATGAGAAACATTCATTGGATTCTTGTAAATTAATAAATATATACATATTGCTAAATTCCAATATTACATATTCAGTTGGAAATATCCAGGGATACAGTATTACTCTACGTTTTTATTTTTAGTCTAAGCAATACAAGATTGAATATTGACATATTTTATATTTATTGTACTAGTGTACTATAAAATAAATATAAGTAGAAAAAAAATCCTTTTCTTTTTCGTATGGTTTATTTGCTTCTAATTCTATCGTTGAAAGAGTTAGAATTTACTTTATAATACTTGACATGAAAACATATATATATATATATAAATGTTGAATTAAAGAATAAAATTTGAATCAATTATATGTAATCTGATAGAACATCCAATATTGTACGAAAAATTATGTATTCATATTTTTTATGTCTTATACTTTTTTTTATAATTAAAAATTTTTCTTTTGCATATGACCATAAGAAAGTGACATTTTATTAAATATTGCTTTCATAACTAAACGACGGTTTGAGTGAAATAACGTAAATCTGGTGTGACAGTTGAATGCTAAAAGACAAGCAAAATATTTCAAAATGATCTAACTTGATTGTTTAGAATGAAAATATTAATTGTATCACAATCTATGCGAAAAAAGTCAATCTGTTGTATAAACGTTGACAAGGATAATGATAATAATAGGCATAAAAATAATACAGAAAAGAAGATAAATAATAGATATGCGTAATCATTATCATAGAAATAAATTAGTATATTGTCAGAAAAGATCTGTGTAGAAAAAGCAAAAAAACACCTTGAGATTTTGTTAGATTATTACTGTTGCAATCCATCGATTGCTGTATAATATGATGGTTCTGCTTTGTGTGTACGGTATGCAATAGTCTCTCTCTCTCTCTCAAAAGATCAACTTTTTTTCCTCTCTTCTTTCTTCATTTGCATGCCGTTGCATATGTACAAACACATATTGACTATGATGATGATGATGATGGTCGTAACACTTGATGATGAGGTACATTGCAATAGGATTGGCATGGTGTAGCGTGCGTAGACGAGTACGGGAGGAGTATATTATCGAACGCAGCGGCATACGTGTGCAACAGCAGAGTTCAAAGGCAAAAAAATGAGAGAAAGAGAGACAGAGAGAGAGAAGAGCGAGAGAAAAATGGGAGGGTAAAAGAAAACACTCGATGCCAACACTAAAAGACAGGAGAAAAGAGAGTGAAGTGACACTTGTTCTCTTCTTTGTCCCACAGCCGTGAATTGTGCTCGCCTACCATCATTTCACTGCATTGTGCCTGTATATAAATATAAATATATACATATATACATATATTTAACGCAATAAAGGCAAGGATGAGCAATGAAGGTAACAGCTCATTGTGGGATTTAAAACGAGCTATAACAAGATGTAAATGGGCTGCGCCCAGTCCATTACTTTCTCCACGTGGTATGAATGAAAAAAAAACTAATTATAATTTATTTTTAATTTTATTAAATAAATTATTAAAACATAATTATTTCCTTTGAATTTTTCTAGCAATAAAAGGTCGAACAACAGTTGAATTAATAAAGAGAGACAATTGTTCGCTTGGTTTAACAATTTCAGGTGGAATTGATAAGGATGGTAAACCAAAAGTAGCTCAACTTAAAACAAACTCCATAGCACAAAAAGCTGATGTATTAGAAATTGGTGATATTATACTTGGTATTAATAGTATTAAAACAGCTGGTCTTAAACATGAACAAATTATAGAATTAATTAAACAAGTTGGAGATCAATTAACATTAGATATTGAATATGATTTACCTAAATGGCGTATGTATAATTAATAGTTTCGTTTCCTTGTCATAAGATTTTATTTGAATATAATTATATATAGCTATACATGCAATTAATACAGTACATACAAAAACGATTCAAATTCAATTGGAAAAAGAAGGACAAAGTTATGGTTTTATTTTACGTGGTGGAGCGTCGGATGACAAGGTCAAAACAAGACCACTTATTATTACAAAGATACGTCCACAAGGACCGGCTGATAAGTATGAATTTCACATATAACAAATAAGAGATATTTATTTCTTTATTTATATATTTAAAAAATAAATCCAGAGAAGGTACGATTAAAATTGGTGATCGAATTTTAGCTATTAATGGAATAAATGTTGGAGGTGCTACATTACATGATGCATATAATCTTATGAGACAATGTCGAGGTACAACATTATTTCTTATTGAATACGATGTTGCTATTGTTGGTAAGATATAATTAAAAACTCTCCATGATATCTATATATTCATTATATATCTTTTAGAAAGTGTCAAACATGCAACTGGTTCATTATTAATTGAAATTGAAAAATCTCCTGGTTCAACAATTGGTATAAGTTTAACACAAAGATGGATACGAAGTAATCGTTCAATTATTATTATTGATAATATTAAGCCTGCAAGTATTGCTGATCGGTAAGATTTTATATATTCAAATAGAAAGAATGAAAGAAAGAAACCTTTTCTTTATTTAGTTGCGGAGCTCTTCATTGTGGCGATCAAATTAATGCAATTGATCAAAAATCATTTGATACAATGTCATTAACAGAAGCAAATACTATATTACGTTCATGTACAGGTGATTTCTGTCGAATTGAAGTTACACCATCAAATATAATTGTTGAACAAACAAATGAAATACGTCTACATTCGCCAACAAATCGAACTTTTTTAAATGAAACTAATCGTCAATCATTCTATCGTACACCATCAAATAATCTCTTATCAATGAATAATAATAATAACAATTGGTCAATGAGAAATAGTTATCAAAGTCTTCCAAAAAAATCAATGCATAAAGCTCGGCATAATTCAATTAGTAAGGAAAACAAATTTCTTTTCTTTTATTTAATATTCATCAAATAAGAAGAATCGAATTTCATATATATAAAGATTTACAAAAAAACAAAACTCCTCTCGTCCATCTATAGGTCTTAGGTCACTGGATAGATTATCTACTTCTACAAACAACAAAACATCTCCATCGGTGATGAAAATGTATAATCTTCGTGAGTTAGGTAAATTGATACACGAGATTGAATTCAACAGATGATAAAAAAAAACACCACCAACGTTTGTTTTTTTGCATTTGTTTTGATAATTACATTATTGTATCATCAACAACAACAATAATAATAAGCTCATATACCCATGTGTTTTTTTTTTGCTATATATCGACTGCATTATCACGCAATACACTCTTTTTTGCTCAGCTTTGGAACGGATAATCTATTTTGAACCATGCATTTGCCTGCTTATAACCAATTGGATCTGACCTTTCTTTTCAATTGTGATTACTTTTTTTTTCAAATTTTTTTCTTCCATACAAAGAATAAAAATTAAATATCTATTTTTTGTTTCTATTTACAATAGGCTCGTTGAATTCATGTTATCAAATGGTGATGAGCAATCAAATGTGCCATACAGAAATAATGGAATGTGCACTTCGACTTGATTCATCATCATCATCACAACATGGAAATAGTACAGATAGTGAAACCATAGGCAATTTTGGTTTTACACTCCAGGGTGCTTCTTTTGCATCGGATGTTTTGATGCAACCGCCTGTTATTGGATATTTAGAACCAGGTGGCGTCGCTGAAAGGTATAATTTAACTGTGTTTAATAGAGTTTTAAAAATTGAGGATATTGTTTAGTGTTCTGTGATATTCGGAGTATAATGACAGTACGAAAGATTGAATTTATGTTATAATTTAGCTTATTATTCATCAGTGGCGTACATAGAAATTTTTTAAGGGGTGGGCCCATTTCTATAGAAACTGGAACTTGTTGGAAAAGAATTTTGATCTAATTTTTCACTAAAGTTGTTAGTATTTATTCATTAACTCCTATTATAAAGCTCAGCTGTAAGAAAAGGAAACTACTGTAAGATCAAGTTCATCAGCAAAATTCTAGGGGTGGGCTCGGGCCCATTCGGCTCACCCCCTGCGTACGCCACTGTTACTCATATTTCAAAAGTATATGTATGTCTATTGTCTAGATCGAGTATACTTCAACCAGGTGATCGTGTTCTTGCTATTAATGGTCAACAATTAGAAGGTATGACATTAGAAGATGCTCGGTCAATAATAAAAGAATCAAATAATCAAATTCATCTTGAAATTGAATTTGATGTAGTTGGTAATTATTTC